ATGAGCTTGATTTTATAACAAAAACAAACTAATAGAAAATTGTTCGACAACTATCCGATCTTCGTCGTCTTTTTCAAGATCCTCACGAGTAGACAAAGATTCTACATTTGCGTTCTGAATTTGAGGAAGGTTTTGCACACCAATGAATCTTGCAAATGTTCTTACCCTCTTTCTTCCCTCATTTTAGTAGCGGATCATACATTATACACTATTTGTTAAATAATAAATAAATTAAAGGATGAAAAGTCACCAGAAATTGGTTGATTAAGATGAATAATTCTAGTAAGCCTCTTGGATTCAGCCATTGGAGAGTAAATCATAACAAAAATTGAAAAATACAAACAATATTTTTTTAAGATTTAAACAAAAATAAAATTAGAAAAGAAATCTGAAAATAGGATAAAGATTAGAGATACCTTAATCAAAGGGATTCTAGTTGATAAAAAAACAACCAAAATATGTGGCAAAAAAAATTTGCAACTTGAATATTGGAGGAAAATCAGAAAAGATAACCATGAGAGAGAAAAAAAATTAAATGGGAGAGAGAAGAACAATTTGAAAAGATAAATATGAGAGAAATGATTTTTTTTTAAAAGGATATATAAAATTAATTGAAAAAGAGAGATAAAATAGGAAGAAAATTGGGACACATAAATTTTTTAAAACAATGACATTTTTGACATTATTGCTAATATTTATAAAGTATGAATATTTTTACTAAATATGTTATTTATTTTGACTAGTTTACTAATTTTGTAGGTGGGGTGGAAGGGAAAAGGGAACGGACTAGATTTAATATTGGTTGGGTGGATTATTTAAAAGAGTGGAGGTGGGCTGCTGAAAGGGAAGAAAATAAAGGCCCAATTCTGGTCCTAAAGGGGAAGGTATTGGGCCTACGAATTGGGCTTGGAATTTGTGGGCTGCTGGGAAGGGAATGGGAAGGAGATTTGGATTAATTTGATAAGTAGCCTAATAGAGTTAAGATGATAAATTTTGGCTAGACCTTAAATAATATGGATTCGTATTAATTAATTAACGAGCTTCTTTATTTTAGTAACATAATTATAAAATAGTGATTTAAAATACAATCATAATTTTAAACTAAGCAAGAGTGCTTACTAAAACCAAAATATTTTGGGATGATTTTTTGAATGATCATGAAATATACTAATTATATACATAATTATGTTAACATATATATTATCTAAAGATATGCTAAAAGTATCCTACGTAACATAAAGTTCATGCATTATATTATTATATTCGTAAAATTTATAAAACTAATTAATTTAAATTATTTGGAAAACTTACGAAGCTCGATAATTAATTTGTACCGATGCGGATCAAAATTGGGTGTCAACAAGTACTATAAATTACAATTTTTTGCATATCAATATGATGAAAAAATATATCTTAAAATGTTAATCAAAGTTTTTATAGTTTGACTCTAAAAATAAAAATAATGACAAATAATAATGGACAGGGGGAGTATCTAATTTTTTTAAAAAATGAAATGTTACTGAATGATGTACTAATTTTTCCATGTTGGATAATTTTGGTAGTAGGTTGTCCTTCTCGATTTGTTAAAATGTTAATCAAAGTTATTTGAAAAAGTGTACATTCTCTATGTCAGTGAACAAAAATATATTCTATAATAAAATATTTGTAAAAATAAAATTATATTAGTTATTTTAAGTTTCTCACTCTCTTTAAGAGAGTGTACACACTCACTTTGTCAGGTGGATAATAATGTAATAATATCAGTTCAAGATTATTTATTAGGGGCAATAAGACGTCTGCATAGTTAAGATGTCTGCATAGTTAATGTGTCTTATTGAAAAATCGGTGTAAGTTCAGGCATTACTTTATGTCTTTTCTCTAATATATTTAAGACAAGTAGTATATTAGAGAAAAGACATAAAGTGACACCTCAACTTATATAACAGTAAGAGTATATATCAATACTGGAAAATTGAATTTAGCGAGAGAAAATTTTTGTAGTTAAACAACAAATCCGTTAAATCCACTTAGCGACTGATTTCTATTAGCAACGAACAAAATAGCAACAAGTAGCGACAACTGTTACTAAATGCAATAATTTTAAATAGTTTATAAGTTATTTGTATAACGATAAGAATATATATGAGCCCCTTGGTATCAACTCTAAATAAACAAATTAACATATATATAACATCATTTTTTATTTGAAAAAATTAAGTGATGATTTTCGCTTTCAACTATTTTTCCAAAAACTTCATTTTAAACATGATAAAATACTAGCCACAAAAAAAAATAAAAATAAAATAAAATAAAATACTAGCCACATAATGTTTGACACGTGGAAGATAAACCAAACCTTACCCTTCTCTAAAAGCACACTATATCCACAAGCCCCTCCTTTATTCATTCCTCCTATCTCCAAACCAAACCAAAGATTTCAAAGAAGTAAAAAAAAAAAATGGCTAGTATTCCTAGTACCATAGTTAACACTAGTTTCTTGCCAAGAAGAAGTGTTGTTACTAGCCTTAAATCCATACCAAATGTTGGTGAATCTCTCTTTGGTCTTAAAAGTGGTAGAAGTGGAAGGATTACTTGCATGGCTACATACAAAGTGAAGCTTATTACACCAGAAGGACCTTTTGAATTTGATTGTCCTGATGATGTCAGCATTCTTGATCGGGCGGAGGAAACGGGGCTAGATCTTCCTTATTCATGTAGGGCTGGTGCTTGCTCATCTTGTGCTGGAAAGGTTACTGCTGGAAGTGTTGATCAGTCTGATAACAGTTTTCTTGATGATGACCAAATAGATGAAGGATTTGTGCTCACTTGTGTTGCTTATCCAAAGTCTAATGTTACCATTCAGACTCACAAGGAGGAGGACCTTGTTGGCTAACTAGTATTTTACTTCTTTTCTTATCAATAATTAAATTAGGTGCTATGTACCTCTTTTATATAAGTCAATGATGACTTGTACCATAATGATTTATGGAAGAATTAATAATTTTCTATTTTTATTTAACTCGTCTCATATTCACTTCAAAAATCAGAATTTTCGTTAAGGAGTGTACGGTAATAAAAGATTAATTATAAGGATAATTGGACATGACCTCAAGAAATTTTCACTATTAGTGTCCCCTAATTCAGGAATTATAACAAACAAAGCAAAAAACAGATAACACATATGTTTTAATTGAAAACAATGCACGAAGAATAAATGGTACATTCTGTTTTGTTACATTACAGAATATCACCATTAATAAAATATCAAAGAGTAATACTTTATTCCCATAGCCTTGTGGCTATTGAAAATTAAATTTAAGTACAAAAGTCAACAAGTTTTAGATGTGTCAGCACTACATTTTTTCCACTCCACTCTTCCCTCATGGTTTTATGTAGTAGTCGATATGTCAACATTGTGAAAGTTGTCTAACATAATTTCATAATCAAAGTTTGTTAGGAAATTAAATAAAAAAAAATAGTCTTTCAAATTCATTAAATTAGAATTTACAATATTACAGAGGTTTGGTTAGAGGATGTCAGTAAAACAAAAATGATCATTAGCAACAACTAATTCTTAATTGCCGCTAAATAAGTATTTTTAGCGGCAATTGTCACTCTTTTTATATGTTCCTAAAACCTTTAGCGACATTGGTTCTAATGACACTTAACTAATGCCGGTAAAGATTTTAACACTCTTTTAATGTCAATATTTAATGCCGCTAAAAATTATTTTTATTATAGTGTGTGATGAGAATTATAATACTTAATTCCTCTTATAATTGGCCTCCACCACATCTTTCTAGTGGTTCAATTTGGATTGGTTATTGATTAAAACCAAAACCAAACCAATTCATTTGGTTTTTCAAATTTCTAAAACCAAAACCAAATGAATAAAAATTATAACCATCGGTTTGGTTCAGTTTTTCTGGTTTATTAGGTTTGAAAGTAATATTTTTTTAAGGACGTACGTATCTCGATAGACACAAACACCAAGTACATGAACAATCTACAGAAAAACTAATGTTGATTCTGTCAAGCAATTAAGCAATAATAGAGTTATCATTACACGGACAAAGTGATTCAATTAAGAGAAAGTGTGACTATTTTATGTGAAGTACACTAGGTAAAGATTAAAATGAGTTATGATGAACTTGGATTTGAGATTGTTATACTTGGGCTAAAGTGTTGGTTTAAAAAAAGGGTAAAGTTGAAGATTTAAGTTAATTAAAATTTAACAAAATATTTTAATTTATTTATAAATAATATACAAATAATTATAAAATTTATATATCTAATTTATCGATTCAATTTAGTTACTTTTGCAGTTATTTTTTAGTTAAATCAAAACCAAACCAAATAAAATTTATAAATCAAACTTAACCAAATATCAATTTTTTAAAATTAATTTAATTCGAATTGTTATTTAATTAATTGTCAATCATAACCATGAACAAACCCTATATATCATAATCATTTTTTTGAGGTAAATTAAGGGTCAACCTCTTTAGGGAATCTCCCAAAGACATCACATTTATATATTTGTCTTTTAATAATTTATACACCTTCTCCTCAATTATTTATTTATTTTTAAATTTACACACCTATTAAAAAATAATTATTGACATGGAGAGTTTATTATTTTATCTATATTAATTATGAAGTGAATAACTTAAAAATTTAAGATTTTTAAGAAATTGTACTTCAAAAATAATTAATTAAGAAATTGATGATAAAATTATTTGTCCTTTTTTATTTTATTAAAATGAAAAATAAAAATAAAAAAATTAAAGGACAACTAAAAGAATGGACGAGGGAATATAATACATTGCTTAATGTCTTTTAGGTAAAAGTCAACCTCTTAATTAACAGACAGTCGTTTTTGTGGTTCTTTTTGTTTTGTGAATATGCATCAACAGTAGATAGCAGCAGGTATTTCGTTAATTAATGAGAAAAGATATAAGTCTAACCCTCGAGTTGTGTTAAATTTTTAAAAAGACATATTAATTTTGTAATTATTTTATCACCCCACTAAATAATTTTAAATAGATATAATTATATCAATTTTTTGTTATTTGACATAGAGAGTGGTGAGCAATCTATAAAATATATTTTCTTATTTTTCTTGTTATTTTAACTTTTTTTCCTTTTTATTTTTTCTTTCTTTTTCTTCTTTCTTCTTCAAAAATTCATTCTGTAATCTCCATCCATTAAAGTTTCTTACTTTTAATGTCATCATTCTTACCACAATTTCACCTTCCTTTTTTATTACTATTAATTTTACTCTCTTTAATTTTAAAATTTTATCTAAATACTTTTTCAAATTTCGAACAATTTGATAAACCCATTAGATTTCATGATGATCAGAAAGTATCATATAGTTTTTTTTATCCGATTTCAGTTAAGTTTTTTCAATTTTTGGGAATTAATTGATTCTTTTAAAATTATCATTTCTAATTTTGAATCTATATGAAAATGAGTAGTTTATGATACCTTCTAAATTTTCGTAGAAAAATAATTAATTTTGCTATCAATAATTCAAAAAAGCCTATAAAATAATATGAATTCTATAAAGAATTTGACTAGAAGAAAAAAAAAATGGGAGTAAGACTCAATTTTGATATGGAGTGTAGGAGGTGAAGAAAAAAAAATGAAGGAATGAATCACTTGAAAGTGGGAGGTGAGAGATAAGTGAAATTTAAGATAAATCAAAATTAAAAGTCAAAAAATAAGAGAGACATAAATTTTTTAAAAAAAAGATAAAAGGAAAAATTTAAGATTAAAAAAAATACATTTTAAATTAAATTAACATGTGTCATATAATGATTGGTACATGAAAACACTTGCTTCTTAAAATTTGGGGTTGATCGAAAAATGATATAATAATATATTTTCAATATTGTTTAGTGGGGTAATAGGACAATTGCAAAGTTAAGATGCCTTTTTATAAATCCGAGACAACATCAGTAGTGACTTTATGTCTTTTCTCTTCATTAATTTTGTATTTTTTTTAAAACTAAATCTCTAAAATTTATGTTTTTTTTAAAAAATAATAGTAGTAGCTATTCAACTAAATATAGGACTTTAGTTTCAACTAAAAACAATTAGAGATTCATGTATTATCTTTAACATTAATTATCTATTTTTAAATTATTTTTTAATATTTAATATTAACCATTATTTAATATAAATATTATAATATAATATTATATCATTATTATTTTTTTATGTGATGCCTAAATTTTAAGTAAATTAATAGATTAAATATATGATTTGAGATACATGATATTGTCAATGTTTTGTTGGTTCTTTTAAGTCAAAGGTGAAATAATAACATGGAATACGGTCCATTAAATACACAAGCTATGGTAATAAAGCCCATTGTAACATGATCACAATGAGAAACCATGGGACGCTGCTCGAAAAACTTGAATTGAATTTAAAGTTTTATTGGATAACCTTTCTAGAAATTTGAATATTTCTTTTAATTCCTTAGATCCAATTCTCTTTTATTTCACCATTTTCAAAATAATCTCTTTTCATCAAATTCAAAATTTCTTAATTATTTTATTTTAGCGAGTTTGGTAAAATTTATTTATACAAATCAAATCAATTTTAATCATAAGACACATAAATAAACATGATTTAGTAGGGGCTTAATTTATGTGTGCATTTTATTAGTCCATTTCCGAAAAATGATATTTTTTTATACTTAAAAATAATTTTAGTTTAAACTTTTTTTTTAAATAAAATAATTTACAATAATATACATATTTATGACTTTGACAAAAATATTTCTTTCTTTCTTAAAATTTATTACTCCCTCTGTCCATATTTAGTTGTCTACTTTAGAAATGACACATTAAAATAACAATAATTAGCGTAGTAAAGTTACAATTATACCCTCATTATTTATGGTTTCAAAAAGGATTAATTAGAACTTAGAAATTTTCAAGAAGTTTAAATAAGGATATAATAGGAATTTTTTTTGTCATTTGTTGATTTGTCAAAATGAACAAGTAAATAGGGACAACTAAAAGAGGAAATATAGACAAGTAAATATGGATAAGTGGAGTAATAACTTGTCAAAATTTATGATTAAAATTGTATTTAAACTGATACTAAGTGTAAAACTGTTGACAAGCATTGTTGAATATCTCACAAAAATATATAGTGGACAACTATTATTAGACGAAAAAGTATTTTTATATAAATGATGAGATAAATAAGTCAAAAACTATCTAATATCTTTAATCAAACACAAGATGAAATTAGTCTATATTTTATGGTAATATTATTATACCTTATACCTAGCACAAAACGACTTTGTAATTAAATTGAGTCCAATGGAATATTAAAGTGTTTGAAAGTTGGTGAGCCTTTTAGAAAAAAAATGTAGAAATGGGAAGAAGACAGAAGCCCATAGGAATTTGTAACTACCATTACCAAAACAGAGTTTTCAAATCTCAATGTCTTGTTCACTTTATTTTCCAATTAACAACTACTACTAATTTAACTTCGTTTTTCTTCTCAAGAAAGAGATTCATAATACCCTTTTCCTAATTTTACAATACAAGAAAAAAACAGAACAGAAGAGAGCAATGAAGATGAAGATGTGGAGTAGAAATGTTAGATGTTTGTCTACTTCAGTAGCAAAAAATAGGAAAAACAATATGGGATGGTGGGACCATGTACAACAAGCTCCTAAGGACCCAATCACCAGTGTCACTCAGGCTTTTCTCTCTGACCCAACTCCCTTCAAGCTCAATCTTGGTGTGGTAGTGCTCTTTTCGTTTCAATTTATTTATCTTATTTTAATTTTATTTATAATTTAAGAAACTAATTGAATGTGTACCACATGTACCACATGATTTATACTCGAACTATTGTAAATGATATGTAGATTTTCTCTGTCATACTTTTGAGCATTGATGTCCTTGTAATCCAAAAATATATAGCTTCTATACTAATGGATATATATACGTGTCATAATCTTATCCACCAACCTCAACATTTATTATATATCGGATCGACGGATAAGATTCTGCCATGTGTTCCTATTTATTGTTCCATTAAAGTGAAGACATATATGCTCTAGTGGTGAAAGACATATATGTTCTAGTGTTTGGATGACAGGAGCACCAGAGGCAGAATTAGCCTTCTAACGGGGCTCATTCGAACCCCCTCCGGCAGAAAATATTACTATTTATACATGGTTAAAAGTATGTGTTATATATATATAATTGTTGCCGAACCCCCTTCGATTAGTTCGTGTGTTTAGTCCTTCAGATTTTGAACCACTTATTAAAATCCTATATACATCACTAAGGAGCACCAATATTCCATAAGTATGACAGAAAACATCTGTATACTAATTACGATAGTTCGAAAATATATATGTCATTTTTTTCTCAATGTTTTTTATTCTTGGTATGTCAGGTACTACAAAGTTAGAATTAAGTATTATAAAAAAACAGTTTTTTTTTCCTAAGCAGACTAAAAATGAAAGTAATAGAAATGAATTGAAATGAGTGAGGACTTGGTTTTGTTAATTAATGTTTTCTCATTGGTAATGTTATTTTGTTACAACTTCTTAATAGGGAGCTTACAGAGATGATAAAGGAAAACCAGTAACTCTTGAGTGTGTTAGAAGAGCTACTGAAAAGATTTCTGACTGCGAGATCTTGTAAGTACCATCTGTTTTTCCTTTTTTCTTTTTAATTAGAGTTAATGGTAAAATATTTGGCTAATTTAGGATCGAGATATGTTTTAATACAAATGAAGTGATATATGTTAATTAGGTAAAGAGTAGAATGAATAGTTGAAGTATGAAACTCACGAAAAAGTGATAGTTCAACTGTATTTTTAGCTTTATTGTTTGTATAACTTAGTGTTATATTTAAGGGCTGATGTTTCCTCCTTTTTTCGCTATGATTGAATAATTGTTTTGGTTAAATGAGTGTACTCTAAGTCTAAGCTCATGTTGGATTTGATCAATCGTATTTTTCAGAATTTCCTTATCTAATTACTCGAATTTGTTTCATTTCTTACTTTTCTGAAGTCTGACTATCCATTGCATGAACAATTTCTTGACTTTATGATTGGAAAAGGAAAGTTTTAACTAGGAAAAGTTCTCGGAATAAGCCAAATGTGACACTAATTAAATTGAGGTGCGCGCACAAGCTGCCCCAGAAACCAATGGAGTAAAAAATAGAAATGTGACACACTGAGGTGATTGTAGGGACTATTCGGTTAGGAGGACATATTCCTTTCGAGTAAGGGAAGGAGTTCAGTGAAATACCAATTCTGTTTTGAGTAATATTGATCCTTAGGATTGAAGAGGATGAAAATTAATTGTGTATTGGAATGAAATGTCTATAATGATTAATTTTTTTAATTCTTTTGAGATAAATTTATCGCTATAATGATTTAAGTTGAGTGGTACAAATATTGAGGATTCATGTAGCCAAACTCAACTAGTTTTGAATTGAAACTTGGACAATGTTGTTTCACTAATAGCTAATTGCGTACTTTAGATATATTGTTGGTACACCAGTCATTTTAGACACCAAGTCGAGGTGTCTAAATGTGCACTCTTTAAGTCGTTGGAGTGCTTGCTTTCCAACTGTTTATGTATCTTTTGCTCTTGTGGATTAACTTCATCACACTAGAATGACTGGTACATCAACAATATATCAGGTGTTGGTTTCACTAGTACTTGATGATTTCCCTGAATTGTCTGTAAAGGGTCATTTACATGATACGGTTAGACATGGTTGAGTTATATAATGTTCCTCTTTGGGTATATAAAGGCATCACTCGTGGCCGTTGTAAGGGGATCATAATGCCGTATTGGATGCATAAGAGCATCAGAATGTTTTTGTAAGGATTTTCAGTTACTTCACTCCTTGCTTTAAGATATTTGGTTGAACTTTGAAGTTCATTCATCATATTAGCATAACACTGTATTAGGAATATTTTCGAGGTTCATCCTATTTCATTGCAACCATGACCGTTGCTTTTTCTATTGGCAGGGAATCAACTAAAGCAACAACAAAATCAAAGTTTGTGCAGGACTGTGTTAAATTGGCTTATGGAAATGACTCTAGTGTTGTTAGAGAAGGCAGGTTTGCTGGTGTTCCAGCTCTTTCTGGGACCGGTGCGTGCCGGCTGTTTGCGGAATTCCAAAGGCGCTTCTATCCTGACTCACAAATGTTTCTACCAATGCCAACTTGGTCCAAGTAAATGTTTCTCACATTTATACTTCTCTTTCATGCCATGCCATTATTAATTAGTACTGTGATTGAAATGTGTCCTCTTTTGAAGCCACCACGACATTTGGAGGGATTCTCAAGTTTGTACAGGAACCTATCGCTATTATGATCCTGATTCAAAAGGATTGCGATTTCAAGCTCTCGTGAATGATATCAAGGTTTGGTGAATTTTCTCTAATTGTGTTGCGAAATTCTTGTTTCAACTTCAGCGCCAAATCTTACATCCTTACGTATGGGATTGTGAGCCTTTGTAAAAGATGACTTATGTTGCTGAGCTAAGGCCAGCAGTAAACTCTGCAATGTGATGATGATTCATTTTGATCCGCGGTATTTGTGTATATGGTTACAATGATTGCAAGCTACACCAACTCTTGTTCAGTTAACTTTCTTCTTTTGGAGTTTCGATTACGTTACCTGACCCTATTCATTTGATGATCTCGCAGAACGCTCCAGATCGTTCCTTTTTCTTACTTCATCCTTGCGCTCATAACCCAACTGGTGTCGACCCCAATTATGAGCAATGGAAAGAAATCTCACACATATTTAAGGTCAGTGGCATAACTTGATCCTTTTTTTCCCCTATATTTATGCTTTTAGATAACTTCTTATGCACTATGTTTGTGAAAAATGTTTTCAGATCAAGAATCATTTTCCTTTTTTTGATATGGCTTATCAAGGAATTGCTAGTGGAGACGTTGAGAGAGATGCCACTGCCATTCGAATATTTCTAGAAGATGGACATCTATTAGGCTGTGCACAATCTTTTTCCAAAAACATGGGCTTGTATGAACACCGAGTAGGTTGTGTCAGGTAGACAAACTTCAAGTCACAGTGTTCTGCAACTCCTCATTTTCAATGATACCGAAATAATACTTTAATTAGTTAAAACTATTCACTCAATCCATTGAACGAACAGTAAACATAAACGGCATAGCTCCATAAACGAAGTAATTTCAACTTGTACATTTTTAGTCCTGAGTGTACTTTAGTGATTAGTAGTCCACGAAATGATCAGAGAGTATTTGGTTCTTAATGATTTCTTGATTAGCCTCCAGCTCTGAAACTTCCCGTCCTCCCCTTTTTTTGGAAACCAGTATTGTCTCCAGGGATGATAAGCAAGCCACTGCAATCAAGAGTCAGTTGCAGCGAATTGTCAGGGCAATGTACAGTAGTTTTCCGGTTCATGGCCCATTATTAGTGTCAACAATCTTGAATGATGCTGATTTAAAGGCACTTTGGGAAGAGGAAGTTAAGGTATTTAGTGTTATTATTATGTATGAGTAGTGAGTACTACTTTCTTACCATTCCATTTCCTTACGAACGTACCAATTTTATATATTTTCACGTAAGGTCATGGTGGATCGCTTAATCAGCATGAGAGTTACATTACGTCAAACTCTTGAAGAGTTGAACTCATCTTCGAGCTGGGAACATGTAACAAAGCAGGTAACAACTCTCAAGTTAATGCAGAATCGCATATTAAATGCAGCTGCTAATTGTTAAAACTTCAGGTTGGAATGTTTTACTTCTCTGGTTTATCCCCTGAGGAAGTAAACCAATTGCAAAGGGATTTCCATATATACATGACTAATGATGGACGCATCAGGTACTTATAACTCACTAAGATGTCTTAAATTTCAGTATTGATACCTATAAACGCGATGCTGATGACATTATGATAATTCAGTTCTGATACCTATATACTTGACATGGCTAATGCAATATTGTCATATGGCAGCATGGCAGGGGTAACAAGCAGCAATGTAGACTACTTGGCTAATGCAATCCATGAAGTTACCAAAGAGTAAATAATAGCAGCTGTATTGGTTCAAAGCATTTTGAATTTGTAGTTTAGCAATTCTTATTGAGATCTTGTGCAGATAACCATTGTCTAATACTGTTAGAGGCTGTTTTGTAGGATGTATTAGAGAAAATAATACATGTATACATCTTATTCAATACTATTCTTATACATAACGATCAATGATATAAGCAATATAAGGGTTTATTAATATATTGATAAGAATGGTTAAAGATGGAACTGGCCTTGAATCACCAAGCCAAACATTGGATAAGAAAAATAATGTCAGGATGATTAATTAATCCACAACAATATAATTAATAAATCTTATACTTCTGTATTATTAAGGGGTCGTTTAATAGCTAGATAAGAAATAAATTATTTCATGTATTTATTTTTGTACTAGTTCTTGAATACGTATGTTACACGTGTATCTCATGTTATTTAATATCAAACATTTCAAATGATATAATTATTTTAGAATAATTGATGCATTATACAATATTTAAAGGGTAAAAATGATGTTTCTGGTAAAACATTCAACTAAGGTTGTAACTTGCAAAGACCAATAGAGTTTGAAGAATTTCTGGTTGTATTGATAAAAACTTTCTAATTTTAATCAAGTGAGATACACTAAATTTATTGATAAAAAAAAGATTACTACTTCAATTATATGATTTGTCAAGATTGTCAGATGTCTAACACTATATTTCCACACAAATAAAAGAAGTTAATTAAACAAAGTAATATATCAATAAGAAAAAAAATGACCAATAAATAAAAGATTACATAAGAACTATAAGATGTGTAAATATAAAGTGTAATGGACTAATATTTTCCATTTAACTTATAAAGAGAGAAACTGTGTATATGAAAAGTTGTGAATGAATGTATTTAATTGTAGAAGCTAAAAAATTTAGCAATTAAAGTCATTAAAAAGTGAAAAATAATAAATTGTGACATCTAACCATGTATTCTCTTTAATCAAATATTAAAAAGTGAAAAATAATAAATTGTGACATCTAACCATGTATTCTCTTCAATTAAATATTGATATTGTATGAATCTCTCCATATGCTCTAACCTCTCTCTTCATATGCTCTAATGTTTAAGTTTTTTTAATCTAAAACGGTAATTGTTAATGCAACTCAATGATAATGCCAAAAGGAATACTCATAAATGCACTTCAAATTATTACGGTAACATTTTAGGGTATGTAAAAAGTTTTTTGTTATGAAACTTAAATTACTATTTAATAATAATAATAATAATAATAATAATATAATGGTATTATTGTAGTAACTCAACTATATAGGGTTATTTTGGTATTTCAACTTTCGACTTTTTTATTCCCACTTATAATAATATATGATTACTTGTACAACGTTTGGTAGGTAGGTAAAACCGATGTTTGAACGTCGGCAACAAAAATAATGAAATACCGGTCAAATTATTTGATTCCCAAGTCTTTAAGTACAAAACCAAAGTGTACCTCATAGCATAAACTTATGTGAGAAGCCTCTCTAACAGCAGCCAAATACATCAATCTCCCAAATGGAGCCAAAAAAAGCCTACACGTGGCTGGCTCAATTACCACTTCCATGGACAGATACTCTCCAACTTTATTGGACCAATATTTTACCTATCTTGTGGCCCATCGCTGATTGACTTTTTTTTCAAGTTTGTGTCACGTAGGTCGAAAAGGGTACAAAATTACATATAAAATAAACTTATGGGTAATAGGACCTTAGTATAGTATAAGTATATCTCTGAAATTTTGGACATAAGTTGAGGAGGTACTTGTGCATTTTCCCTATATTATATGATACTAAAAACAAAATAAAGCCAACAAATAAAATCTAATTATAATTAGCTATAACAAGCATTTGATTAAAAAAAATATATATTTTAAGAGTTGTGTTTTACATGTTCATTTTGTAAGAAAACAAAAGATATATGTGGAACTTTTCTTATAAAATGATCGATGTTTTCAATAGTACAATGTCTTCTGGATATACAACAAGAGAGACACTCCTAAAATTTTACTAATAGCAAGGAAAAGACTCCTAACAGGTAACTAATCCTAATATTATGTGTATTATCTTATTTGTAGTTAACTTGTAAAATAGGTTAGTTTATAATACTTCAGCCAACTGTTGGCTGAGATCTTAACCAACTGAGGCTCAAAACACCAAATAACGATAAGAAATCTGGATCTGTGTGTGTACGCCCAGTACTCTTTGCACTTCTTGTCTTCGTTTGTGAGTAGATTGATATTCACACCAACACCCTTCCTCAATTCGGAGAGCACGAAACACACCCAACTTGCCCAATGAGGTGTGAAGCAGAGGTCCAAGCAATGATCTAGTGAAAAAATCAACTGATTGGGATGAAGATCGAATGTGAGAAAGTGAAATGACTCATGCGTAGGAACTGTTGGCGAACAAAATGACAATTAATTTCAACGTGTTTTGTACGTCCATGGATGACAAGATTTTTTGCTATATGAATTGTCGCCTGGTTATCAGAGTGTAGTGGAATAGGGATGTAGATGTCTTCAAAGAGGCGAACAAGCCTAGTAAGTTCGGAAACTACCCGTCTCATGGACCTAAACTCTGCTTTAGAGAAGCTAAGAAAAATGGATGTATGCTTCTTTGATTATTAAGAAATAGGAGAAAGTCCCTAATGAAATGCAAAAACCATTGATAGATCAATGAGTATCAGGGCATGTCCCCCAATCATAATCGCAGAAGGCTCGTAGTTCAAATGAAGAAGAATGTGATATAAAAAGGCCAAGTCTCAGTGTCTTTCAAAAGGTAGCGTAGGACTCTAAGAGCAACATTGACGATATAGAATTTCCTGGGCACCAACATGTATTGACTCAAGTGTTTTACGATAAAGGAGAGATCTGATCTAGTGTGTGTGTGTGAGGTAGTTTAGCTTTCCAGAAAGATGTCGATACAAAGTAGGATCAACAATTGGATCGGGCGAAATTGTCTGATAGACCATTTTGCTTGTATGAGTTTGTATTCTAGACCTTCTAACTTAGCATTTTGTCAACCGAACGTTTAACTCAATAAAACTCAATACCTAAACCCCTTCGGCTTTGTGTGAACTTCAAACGCCCAATAAAAATGACATGTCATTATCCAAATTAGATTTTATATAGCACGTCATTTATTATTTATTTTCTTAAAAAAATTATTGTTTCTTCATTTTCACACCATTATTCCCTTCATTCTTACTTGAACAACTTCTAAAACCGTTTCCTCCATTGATGTCAATGAATCACCATTAAAATAGCTTAACGTATCTTAATATTTGCATACAATTTTACACAATACACTTCATCTAATTTCATAAAGATATTAAAAAATTACTTTTCACTATTCAAAACTATCAGATGTTGTCTACAAAAATGACAAAATGAAAAATAAAGAATAACTTTGACAACAAAAGAGGTCAATACTCATTAGAAGTATTTCTTTCGAAAACTAGGTTTATCATATATTTTTTTTATTTTTTTCGCACAATTTCGTTTTTAATTTGTGGGGAACACAAAACGAAAAAAAGAATAGAAAAAAAAATTTGGAAAGGAGCAAGGAAGGGGAGAAAGAGTGAAATGAAGGTCTTGGTGGGGAAGAATGGGAAAAATGATGGTTGAAGATGGGAAAAAGGGGGATGGGTGGGGGAAATTATAAAGAGAGAAGTGAAACATTTGTTTTTAATTTTTTTCTTGTTTTTATTTTAATTTTCTTTTTCTTTTAATTATTTGAAATCAAAATTTTTAGGTTCACGCTCTTTTTTGCGCGTGGAATCACGTATTTGTCCAACTCATTAATTAAGTTGACACGTAGACCTGATCAATGGTCAAAGAAATTTAAAATGTTAAGTTTTATTGAGTTGGAGGGTTCAGTTGACAAGTTCAAAGTAAGGTCTAAAATACAAACGCATACAGGTACGACGGTCCATCAGACCATTTTACCTTCTTGAGAAGCCTAGTTTGACAATTTGGTCTAAAGGAGAAGACACATGAGATAGGCCTAGAATATCAAACTCCTTTAACAAGTCGAGGGCGACTTTCCTATGACCAAGCATCTGTTTTATTTTAAAAAAATACTAATTTGTTTAAAAAAGGTAAAAAATAATTAGGTTTCGAAAAATCAATTAATTTTATTATTTAAGAAAAATCGACTTTTCAAATTTTGGAGTCGCCACTTGATTTTTGATAAAATCAAGAAAAAATTCAAAAGATCTAAAAATAGATTAAAAATCAATTGAAAAGGTTCGAAGTTCAAATGTACATCCCGAGAAGGTGTTAGGCCCTCGTGATGCCCGCTAACTTGCGGTTGACCGGCGATTTGACCAAATGACTTTGTAAAATAAAATTTTTTAACCAAGTAATGAGAAAATTTGTTTTAACATATTTTATTCCATTTTTATTTTATTTCTAAAGGGAAATAATTAGAGGGAATTAACTTTAAAAACTAAATGGTGACCAAACTTAACAAAATAAGTAAATAAAATAGTACAATTTAAAATAATGAAAAATGGATGCCCTTTAGGAGATTATTAAAATTCTACCAAAATATTAATTAAATCAAACAAATAATAAATAAAGAGGGAAAAATATTTGAACTTGGGCTTGATTGCCCAAATTCATTCCGTTGGGCCTTGGCCCACCTGTCCTAAACTAAATCACTTAAATTTGGGCCCCTTTTTAACAATTTAAAAATGTGTAAATTAGGCATATAACATTTTTTTATAGTAATATTCTCGAGTTACAACATTAGAGTTTGAATTTCATTGTATAACATTTGATATCTCAAGCTATAGCATTTAAAAAAAATATATAATGTTAATTGTAAATTATTAAAAAGAGTTGTTAAAATAAAAAATAAATTAAAAAAATGGACAAATTAATAATGGAAAATGGGATCTTTTATTAAATAAATTAAATATAATATTAATTATTGTTAATAAATTAGCACGTTTTAAGGGATTTTAATTTTTTTTAGATTAGTTAGTTGCCTTAATTCTCTCAAATTAGTTTAAATGATATTAATTTTTGATTTAATTCCTTAAAAAACTCTACCAGATTGGCATGAACGTACATGTCATTTTGTTTTCCAAAATTTCACAATTTTTTTTGAGATATGCAGATTTTATTTTCATTTTTTATTAGTAGTTGAATAAATTTTGGCATTGGAAAC